CGATTCCTGCAGCTGCCGAGCCCGTCGAAGCGCCTCCTCTGGTAGCAGGAGTTCGGCGCGCGCCCCCCGCGGGGGGGTGGCGTCGCGCATCGCGCGGCGCGCCGGGGCCCAAGTGGATTCGCCCGCGGCCTCTCGCGGGCGCGCCCCCGAAGCAGTTCGGGGCAGAGGTCCGCAGGAACGCCAGGCGGCGCGAGCCGGGCCGCCGCTCCACCCGCGGGAGCCGGGGAATTATCTAGGTGGCTTTTGGCCCATCTCGCGAACGCGCCCATGAACGTCGGCTGCGAACTCGTGGTTGGCCTCTGCGAGGCCCCCGGGGGGCAGTTTCGAAGCCTCTTGCAGCCTCTTGGGGAAGTTTTGGGGCGGGGGCCTTCCTGGGCCTCCTGGATCCGCGACTAGAAGCCGCCCGGGCGGGTCCGCGGCCTTCGCGGCGTCTGGGCCGTCAAGGTCCGAGCGCATCACCGTCGCCTTTTGAAGCCACTGCGGGTTGGAGGCCCGCGGGCCTGGCAGTCGGCGGCGCCAGCGATCCGCTCCGCAGGGGTGCCCGTCCAGTCGGGCGCAGTGCCCGCGGAGCGCCTGTGGGAGTGTCTCAAGGGGATGCTCCCGCGAGGCGCCCGCACAGCGTCGCCTCGCTGGTTGAATGTCCTCAGGCAGCTCGCTTTCTTGAGGTTTAATTTTTGGCGCTGCGCCGCGGGGTGGTTGCCCGCGTGGGCCGGGCGGGGCTCCCTCCTGGCTCAGCGCCTGGGGGCCGTCGTCACGCTCGGAGTTGAGATCGGCGAGACGGAAGGCGCATCCCTCGACCACTTGAGGCATTCGTTCGCGCCCTTCCTTTGAAGGTTGACCATCGCGCGGATGAAAGCCGCGGTCCGGGCGGGCCCTGGTTAGCATGCGCCGACATCACGTCTGCCTTCAGGCTGTTTTTTTCTCCTTGGGCTACGGCACGCCCTTGGTGCGAGTAGTTCTGACCGACGGGGCGCGCCATTCGAGCCAGGCTCGGGGTCTGCAAACACGTTTGGAAAAAAAACTCGGAACCGCGACCTGCGGGGCAGGTCGCGGGAAATTGCTGCCATTCCGCATGCACGCGCAGAGCGCAACCATTTGCGCGCAAAAACCGAAAACGGCCTTCTCTGCTTCTCTCTCTCTCTCTCTTTCTCTCTTTCCCTCTTTCTCTATCTCTCTCTCTCCCTCTCTCCTCGTCCTTCCCTCCACCGTGCTTGGCTGGTGGGTCAGAGACATCCTGGATGTTGGTTGGGAGCTCGTGGTTGGCCTCTTTCGGGCCTTTGGGAGGCGGGCTCGAGGCCTTTGGAGGCCTGTTTGGGGCAGTTTTGGGCTTCATGGGGCCTCATTGGGGTCTCTTGGGCTTTGGGAATCCTTGGGAATCCTTGGCGGCGTGCTTGGGGCCCCTGGGGGCTCCTGGGGCCACCCCGGAATGATTTGACACGACGCGACAAGGCCCACCAAACCCGAATTAACGCCCAAGAGAGATATGGCAAAGGTGGTTTCGGTCCCTTGATTGGGCTTCAGGAGCGATTCCAGGGGCCCGAGGACACGCCCACTCCGTGCCGCAGGACGCGGTGGCGGATTATGGCAACAGTCAAAAAGAGCAGGCAGGAAAGGAGCGGAGGAACTCTGAGACGAGCTCCGCGATTCAAGCCAAAACCGCAAGGATTTCCCGTGCGTCACCCCATCAAACACTTGGAAAAGCCTGGGGTCTTCAAAGACGACAGGGGCTACGCACGGGGAGCATTTGGTATTTTGGCGCATCTGCGCGAGTTCATAAGATACATCCCAATACAATAGTTGTTGTTTTCGCGGCGACCGGTTTGCCACAGCGTTCGAACGAATCGGGCGTCGGCGCGAGGCAGACAAGGATAAACAAAGGATGGGTGGGGTCGGGGGGGGGAGAGAGAGAGAGAGAGAGAGAGAGAGAGGGACAGAGAGAGAGAGACAGAGAGAGAGAGAGAACAAACAAAAGGAGAGGAACAAAACAAAGAGGGAGAGAGCGAGAGCGAGAGCGAGAGAGAGAGGAGCCACGCTATCAATTTGGTTTTCGGTTGTTTCGGAAGCTATCAATTTGCCTCCGGCCCATTCGGCCACCGCGCTTGGCTTGTGATGGGCCTCGTATATTATCATTGGAATCTCTTGGAGAGCTTCTGCGGACCGTTGGAGACAGTTTGAGATCTATTGGGCCTCGTAGGAGATCGATTGGAAGTGTCTTGGCAATTTTCTACGGAGACCCTTCAACGCCTCTTTGCGATGTTGCCCTCTCTCTTGGTGCGCAGGTATCAAACGTTCTTTTCGAAGTTCCCATCTTGGATCCGTCGAGGAGCCCACTCGGAACCGTCATGGGCCGTCTTGAGCCTTCGACCGGCGCGCGTGCCGATTAGCCACCGAGCAGCCGATCAGCCGATCCCGATCAGTAGCGGAGCAGCCGATCAGCCGATCAGCAGCGGAGCAGCCGATCAGCCAATTAGCCGATCAGCGGCCGAGAGGCCGATCAGCCGATCAGCGGCCGAGAAGCCGATCAGCCGATCAGCCGATAAGAGTGGTCGGCTGATCGTCTGATCGGCTGCTCGGTCGCTTATCGACTGATAGGCTGATCAGTTGATCGGCTGATCGGCTGGAATCGAATAGCACCCCGGCGCGCCGTCACCCTGCTTTTTTGGCCATCGAAGCGCTCTCCAAGGTAGTTGAGCGTCCCTCTGGAGTCCCTCTTGGGCCAGTTTGGGCTCTCATACGGCCGTCCTGGGCCGTCGATGGCCCTCTCAGATGTTCTCGAGACCGTCTTGGAGGCTTCTTGGGCCATGCTGCCCCCTTGAGCCGTTCTGGGGTGCTCTTGGAGACCTCTAGGGCTCTAGGGCCGTCTGGGGTGCTGAAGGAAAAAGGTGAAGACACCGAAACATGCCCCCAAAACATGGAGCAGAGCATCAATCATTTGGCAATATTGGGACATACTGTGGTTCTTGCGGTCCTCTTGGACCGCCTTGGGTGCCGCCTTTTGGGCCGTCTTGAGGCCATCTGGGAGGCGTCCTGAAGGCATCTTGGCAGTTTTGATTGCATACATCGGCCGTCTTGGAAGCTCGGAAACGCAGATCGTGTCCTCTTGACCGCGGATCAATCGTATTTTGCGTTGATGGATCGTGGACTCGTGTGGAGGTGATGCATGCGGAAGCTTGCGTCGATAGAAGGGGGTCCCGTACAAGATTGCAGAAACCTTACCGGACAGCATTTGGCATTCTATCGCGCCACATCGTGCCGAGGGGCACGGCGGTGGCGGATCATTGGTAAGGATATCAAGAATCGTGAGTCACGAAACCATATTAAAAGCACATGGTTTCGCAACAAGGGTTTTGGGAAACCTTTCGGATCTTCTTGTCTGATCCCAAGTTCGAGGATCCAGGCTCTTCTGACGTCTGTCTCCTTGTGGGGCCCTTCTGTGGCTTCTCGCCGCCACGGCTGGATTCACCTCCGAGTTCTGGCCAAAACACGCCCTGGAAGAGTGTGGAGTCGATGCTTGATTGCCCCCGAGCGATACTCCCCGCCCTCTTCCGATCGGAGAAGGAGGAGGATCGAGATGTTTTGACGTTTTGAGTGGTTGTTAGGCTTTGGGGACCTTGGAACCCAGACCTGGCTCTTCCAAAACAATCGCGCTTGAGGTTTTTGTTGCCGTCATAGGCGGCCTCCAGGAGCCGTTCCAGGCGGCCTTGGACCATCAAACACGAGGGGGTGAAACGCAGTCCCTGCGGAAGTCGGGTCGAGGGGTCCAGTAGTTGGCGAGTGAAGTCGAGACATCGGCGCGCAAGAAGGGGTCAGGGCGGGGGGGCGGGGCGGTTTTCTGTGAAGGAAGGGGCCGTCTTCATAGATGGGATCGCCCCCAAGCCATCATCCCTCCTCCGTCTCCTGTCTCTCCCCCACCCATCCTCCCTCATCCCTTCTCTCCCCACACCGTTTTCGTCATCCCGTAAGTATCATCCCCTTTCCCCTTGCCGTTGCCTTATCCTCACTCGCTAAGCACCTCCTGCTGGCTGTGCCGCCATTTCGATACACGTTCTGCCTAGAGCTTTTGATCAGTGTATTATGGCGTCGTCACAGTCTTCTCTGGAGTTAATTCGCGCGTACTTCTTTACGCAAGACGAGGTTTGACATCGAATGTCATGTTCCCCCCTCCCCATTTCATGCTCCTCTCCTATCCCCCTCCCCTCCGTCCCGCATCCTTCCTCCTTGCGCCATCTCTCTCCTCCTTCGCTCCCATGTCCCCCCCCCCCTCCATCTCCCCATACACTCCCTGTCCCATACCTCCCTTCCACACCTCCCCGCTCATGCCCCCCCCCCCCCACCTCCGCTTGCCCCGCCGCACCCTCCTCTCCCCCACCGTCCGCTCCGCTCCCACATTTCTGCACCCCCGCATCCCCCCACTCCGCGCCCATGCTTATGCACCCTCTCATCCCCCAACTCTGCTCCCACACTTCTGCACACTCCCTCGTCCCCCCCTCTCCTCTGCCCTCGCCTCCCCGCCCGCCCCCGCGCTCTCTTCCCCCACGGCTCATGTCCTAGTATTTGCTGGGCCCGCACCTCTCTTCCCCTGCCCCCCGCTGGTGGTCTCTGCCACGGCTGGGCGGGTGCCGTCGGGCTTGTCTCGAGAACCCGGAGATCCGGAAACAAGAGCATCGGCCAGCACTGCGCACTTAACTAGCGATCGTTTTCTGGCTCACTGTTTTGCCGATCGGCTCGGGCCCTCGCACCGCGTCCCTCCCCCCCAATGGAGTAGATCTTGGCTGTTTTTTGCGACTGCCTCGAGCAGGTGGAGTCTCCCCTATAGGAGACACAGTTCCAAATAGTCGCACTGAGCAGACGTCCGGAGACAGACCCCCTTTCCTCCCCCCTTTCCGCCCAATGTCGAAACGCCGAATAAGAAAACGTTCACCTACTGGATGCGCGCCATCGTGTGTCATTTGCCTAATGTCGTTTCGTCCGCCGATCCGCCTCTGGTCGTCGCCGCGCAGTTTATACTGGCATTCTCGAACTTCCTGGCCTGCGTCGGCGCCGGCATGACGGTGAAATTCTTCAACCTGTTCTTCATTCAGGACCCGTCCGGCAATTTGTCACGGACCATGGCATTTCTTTGGTATTAATTCGGCCCAGTCCAGTTCAATCGGTTTCAATGTGGCGTTATCGTTTAGTTGAGTAGTTCTCAATGTAGACCTCTCAGGAGTTGCCACTTGTTCTGCTCCTCTCCGTTCTCCTCAGGACCCCTTCCCCGCCCTCCTCCCCTTCATTACCTGTCTTGTCCTCCTGAAGAATCATGGTAACAAGTCTTGTGAACGAGCCACCGTTGCATTATGTGAAGACGACGCGGAGCGGTGGAAAAAGGCTCCCAAGACGAGCCCAGTGTTTCGAGAGCTCTCTTCAGGCAGCTTACGGCGTGACGTGCAATGTGTCAAAAGGATAAGGGAAGAGGAGATCTCCTAGATGTTTCTTCTTCCAAGAGAGAGGCCTCCAGGAGACCGCCCCTTCCGGAGGCCCCCCCTTCAGAGATCTATCTGGCTCGAGAGATCGCGCATTAGCACGAGGACGAGAGTTCTGACCGTGTTTTGTTCACCGCGTCGCGTTTTTCCTCACGACTTCGGATGTCTACGACAGTCGGGGCCCTCATCCTCCCCATCGCCTCCTGCGTGGCCGACGTGATGAACCCGTTGAACCCAAGAACGCTTGTACGAGAACGAGCTCCTCATCCTCCTCCTGCCCGTCTGGTTCTTCGATACAGTAGCCGGTTTGGCTCAAGCAATTCTGGTTCAGGCGAACCAGCTTTTGTTTGAAATTTCTTCGGTTCGGCACGTTCAGTCGGAAGATGGCACCCCGCACGCGCCAGCATCGCAGCCATCTGTTCACCTACGTAGTGTTGGGAGCGCTCGCCGCGCAGCTGCTTGTGGACCTGGAGGTATCCGACTTCGTCGACGGAGAGACGCACGCGGCGTTCGCAGCCCCTCGCGCCGCCACCTCTGCCGGGACCGCCGTCGAGCTTGTTGTCGCGAAGAATGGAGCGTTCACCCGCAGCACGGAGGGCCCGCAGAATTCCCGCTGGCGCACGGGGGGTCGCACTGCGGCTAACGCTGCGCCAGCGATGTCCGTTGGGCAGAAGGTGATCAATGCCATGGGCGCGGGCGCGGTCGCTTCCGTCATCCAGGCTGCGCTTTCGGCGGTGGGGGAACCCATTGTGAACCGCGTGCTCGTGAAACGAATGAAGATCATGGACGCGATCAACGACGTCAGCGCGGCGCAGATGCTCAATTTCTTCAAGACAACGTTGGCGACAAACTTCCTCAAGTTCCCGTTCTTCGAGGCCATCAATGCCTTCTGCGCCGCGTTCCCCATCAGCCCGACTTACCGCGGCATCTTCACGGGCTTCGTGTTCACCACGGCCACCCTTCCAGTCACGAACTACAGGTACCGCAAGTCGATGGACTTAGAAGTGAATTGGGCCAACATCTACGAGGCCTATCCGCCCACCGTCATTCGCGACATTGTGTATGGCATCGCCCGCAACTACTGCACTATCGGTGTGCTCGGTCTCAACCCGGCCTGGTCGATCACCTCGCCCGAGGTGCTCTTCATCGTCGTGATCCTGGGCTGCCTCATCTCGGCGCCCTTCAACGAGTGGCGTGGCTACCTCCTGCAGTCCAAGGGTCAGGAGCTGACCTTCAAAGAGTTTTTCAAGCCATCGAACTTCGTGCGCTCCACTTCGCTCGGGGCGCTCAAGCAGGGCATTGCGCTCGCGTTGGGCTACTGGGCCGCACCGCCTGCGTCGAAGTTCGTCACTGGCCTGATCGCCAGCCTGAAGGCCGCATTCTAAGGCGAGGACTCGAGTTCCGCCACGGGCCAGGCCGTGATTCGTCGCTGTCAATCGGCGGTGAAGCACGCTGGATCCCGCACTATTCTCAGAGCCACCGCCGCTCCGGCGAGTATTGATAAAGGGATGGTGGAGGTGAGCGCGATTCGAATGAGGCGTTGGAGGATGAAGAAGGAGGGGAAGTCAGGTTGGCCCAAGTCAACGAGATATACATATCTATACATAAATCTTATATATATATATACACATAGAATTATATAGAGGATACGCCCATGCGGCCAAACGTTTGGGCAAAAGTTGGCCACGCTGTTGGACGATACGTTCCCCGAGCAATTGTGGAATTCCTTCAGGGAACCGGGAACACGTGGGGGACGAAGCTAGATACCCGTGTTTCTGCTAGTCGACGTGTGATATTTCGTAATCTCCAGATAGGCTTGGATGATAGAGCCCGATGTTTCCCCCAGGAGTCCGGTGCAAACGCTGTACCCCACCTTCGTTGTGAGGTCAAAGTAAATACCCCAACACCCGTGCCCAGCAGTATGCAGTTTCCTCTTATAGTTTTCATCAATTCGGTTGCCACGTGATTTCGAAATGATTCTCTGGCCGCAGCACCCGCCACACACCATTTGCCCAGAACGGCCGATTCCGTAGGAATTTCAGCTTGCTTGCAGGAAGCCGCTTGCACATGCAAATTCGCTGTGGAGTTCCAATGCCATGACGGGGTGTGAGATGAGGCTTGCGGTGGACCACTTGGGAGCCTATTGGGTCATTATTGAGGCATCCTTGGAGATTCCTGGGGACCTCTTGGGGGTGTCCTTGGGCCTCTTGTGCGCCTTTGAGGGCTACTCGAGTGCCTTTTTTTAGCGTCTTACGGCGCTCGAAGCCACAGGGCCGTCTTGGGGCCCTCTTGGGGCGCTTCAGGGTCGTTTTGAAGGCCATCTTGGGCATCTGGGAGGCCTCTCGGGCCGTCTTGGGGCCCTCTGCGGGCCGTCTTGGGAGCCTCTTGGGCCGTCTTGGAGACATCTTCGGGGGTTCCTCTCAGGCGATCTTGGATCTTAGGGGCCTCTTGAGCCGTCTTGGGCCGTCGGAATGCCGCTGTGAAGCACATGCCAAAACCTTTAATTTCCTGTTTGTGGAAATCAATGATTTTGGCTTCTTTACGCCTTCCTAGAGGACCTCTTGGAGACCTCTTGGGCCGTCTTTGCGGCCTCTTGGGGGCCTCTTAGGCCGTCTTGGGTCATCTTGCGCCGTCTTGGGTGCATCTTGGGCCGTCTTGGGTGCATCTTGGGGCCATCTTGGGTTCGTTGGGTTCTCTTGGGGCCATCTTGGCCGTCTTGGAGGCATGTTGGAGGCATCTTGGCAACCATCATGGCCGTCTGGGAGGCAGTGGGGCAACGGAGAATGCCGGCGCGCTGGGCCGAAGCCCCGGGGGGAGTCTTTCAGAAGAACCAGAAACATTCCAAAGTTGAGCACCAGCACGCCACGTACCCTTGTGATACATCAACAGTGGGCGGCGGATCGAAGACGTCTCTGGCGAATCACCGTTGCCCCCTGCCCTTGTGGAAGAGCTGATGTGGCCGACAGCTGGGCTAGAGCTTGGCCAAGCTATCGGTCCAGTTATTCCCCGAGTCGGCTTGGAATGCCTTCGGGGAACGTGTGGGAGAGCAAGAGGTTTGAAATCGCCCGTGTGTCCGAGCGTTGTGGTCAGAGCTCTTCCAACCCACCAGACCATGTGTTCCCCCGTGGAAACCCTTCGAGGAACACTTGGGGGAGGATGGCGGGCAAGATCAGGAGGAGAAGGAGGAGGAGGAGCAGAAGGAGGAGGAGAGGAGGAGGAGGGAACATCTTGGGAGCCTTTGCGGGCACTTGGGGCATCCTAGGAGCTGAGGCATCTTAGGGGGCCTCCTTCGGCATCTTGGGGGCCGTTGGGGGCTTCTGGGGGGCCTCCTTGGCCGTCTCAGGGCATTCCTGGCACGTCCGACGCCGTCGGAAGCCGCAGGTGGAGCTCCCTGTCGGGCCCCGAATAGTGTGAGGGGTGTGCCGAAACGGGTGCGGTGCTGGCATGCGGGCGCTGCCTTTGGAGCTTTCGGGTGATCTCCATATGGGGCCACGAAGCGAATGAGGGGTGTGCCGAAACGGGCGCGGTGGTGCCATGCGGGCGCTGCCACTGGGGCCTTAGGGTGGAGCTCCCTGTGTGGCCACGAAGCGCGTGAGTTAGCACGGGCCTGCCTGCTACAGACATCGCATCAACGACATTGTTGCAGTTTTGCCGTTGAGTTGTCTTTTTGGTTGGCGTATGCCCCCGTACCGATTATCGCGAGGTCCCCGCAACATTGATGCGCGCCCATGGCCTGCTTGTCGTTACGATTGCCGCATTTTTGCCGTTTTCTTGTTTCCCCGATATCATGCAGAATTGCACTTTTCCGGTTCTGCGCCGCATGGCTTGTCGCAGCCGTTGTCGCATCGCTTGTTGCAGCCGTTCTGCGGGTCCACAAAACTGCTTCATGGGGAGGGGCGCTTTTGAGCAACACGTTGTTTTTTTTGTGTTTCCGGCGCGCGTCAAAACATTGGTGTTTTTTGCCGTTTCTTTGCCGCCGCCATTGGCTCAAAAACATTAATGTTTTGCTTAAATTTTTGGTGTCGCCAATTGTGTGCGATTCTGTTATGTTTCGTTGTATGGTCGCCCCGATCACTCCCGCGCGCCCGCGTGCGACCGTCACGCAAAACAATACTGTCGCACGCTGTCTCGCCACGCCGAGAAGCGACCCCATACGGCAACAACCCAAACCATCGAATGACGAATCTGTAACGATCAGGTTGGCCTCATGCCTATAGCAGGCATGCCCCGGGCAAGCTGCAATAGTGCTGCCAAAGCGGCTGATATGCGCCGCTGCGCAATTGGATAATAATGCGAGTGCAATTGGAGGGGATGGCTGGGAGGAGTTCGATTTCAGATATGGAAAAGCGGACGTAGCTTGCCCCTTGCACTCTCCCCCGTGTAGGACGCAGGCCAATGGTAGAGCAGGCGGGGCTTACAGCAGCATCATGAGCAAGATGGGAGGAGCAAGCGGAGCAGGAGGGAGCGGAAGAGGTGGTGGCGGTGGAGGTGGCGGCGGGTGGGGGGATGAGAATGAGGATGAAATTGATGTTGAGGACAACGAAAATAATGGGAATGATGAAAGTTATGGCGAGGAGAGGGGCGATGGGGGGAGGGCGACAGCGAGGAGGTGGAGGAGGAGGGGGATGGGGGGGAAAAGGAGGCGGAAGAGGATGAGCATAGGGGTAGCAGGACGAGTAGGAGGAGAGAAAGGAACACATTGGGGAAAATGAAGGGGAGGGGAAGACGAGAAGCAGGAGCAGTAGCAGGAGCAGAAGGAAGAGGAGGAGCAGCGGGAGGATCAGGAAGAGGAGGAGGAGGATGAAGAGGAGGAGGAGGACCAGCAGCAGGAGGAGGAGGGGGAGGAGGAGGAGGAGGAGGAAGAGGAGGAGGAGGAGGAAGAGAAGGATTAGTCGGAACGTCAGGGGGAAGAGGAGGAGGAGGAGGATGAGGGGGAGGGGCAGGAGGAAGGGGAAGGGTAGGATGACGGGAGGGAGGATGTGGAGGAGGAGGAGGAGGACACGCGGGAAAATGAGGAGGAGAGGATAGTGATGACGACGAACATGAGGCGGGGAAGGAGGAGGATGACGACAAGGGAGGAAGGAGGCGGATAGGAGAGAGGAAGGATCAGGGAGGAGGGGAAGGGAAGAGGAGGTGGAGCAGGAAGGGGAGGGCGCGTGGAGGAGACGGATATGGGGGGGAGGTGGAGGAGGAGGAGAAGATGCGAGGAGAAGGAGGAGGAGGAGGAAAAAGGAGGAGGAGGAGGAAAAGGAGGACGAGGAGGATGGAGGGGCGATGGGCGAGGGGCGCGGGGGGGCGGGCCGGCAAGCGGGGGGGTCCAGTGCAACACGCGGTCGTTTGGGGGTTGTCATTTCTGTTGCCGCGCACTTTGGAAATGTTCAAATTTTGTCTGGAACGGCAAAGAAACATCAATGTTTTGCAAAACGTTTTGCGTTTCTTTGTTGTGCGGGACGTCCTTTGCCCATGTTGGGGCGGCGGTTTGACGCGACGCGTTGCTCAGCACATCATTGTTTGTTGTTGGTCCCCGTTGTTGCTTCGTTCTTACGTCCGATGGTGCTGCCCCTGCCCCTTGCCCAAAACACTACTGTTTGTTGAAGTTCCCTTGTTGTTTGTGCTGTTGCTGCCCCCTGTGGTTTGGCAAAGCATTGTTATTTTGTTGCTGTTTGCTTGTTCATTTGGTTGTTGCGTTCCCTGTCGATGGGCAAAGCATTGCTGCTGTTGTGCTGCTTGGTTGCTTTTTCCATGCCCCGACAATTTGTCAAACCATTGTTGTTGTTGTTTTGCTGTTTGTGTTTTTATGGTTGTACCCCCTGCAGTTTGACAACACACAGTTGTTTTGGTGCTGTTTGCTTGCTTTTGTTGGTTGTTCGCTTCCGCGATCGCAATGCCCACCGGCAGCATTCCATCACTATCAGCTCATGTTGCACGAGGGGGTGCAGGAGCGGGAGGATAATCAGGAGAGGAAGGATGAGGACGAGGAGTAGAATGAGGAGGAGGACGAGGACGAGAGGGAGGAGGAAGAGGTAGGAAGAGGAGGAGGAGGAGGAGGAGGAGGAGGAGGAGGAGGAGAAGGGGGAGGAGGATTAGAAAGAGCACGGGGAGGGGGGAGGACGAGGAAAATGAGGAGTAGGAGGTGAGAAGAGGAGGAGGAGCAGGAGGAGGATGGGGTAGAGGATCAGGAGGAGGAGAAGGAGGAGGACATTAAGACCAGCGAAGAGAAGAACGAGGGGGATGATGAGGAAGTGGAGGAGGACGAGGAACAGTAGGAGAGAATGATGATGAGGAGGAGGAGGAGAAGGCAGCTCGTGTGGAATAGTGGTCTCTACATGGGACTGACCCCAGGACCAGTATTCCTCTGCAGACCCCCGGCGGGGGCCAGGCCATGCTGTTGGCGCCGGGCAAGCCGGCTGTTATTAAGCGACCCGCATGGATCGTTTTGCAAAAGAAGGCTGGAACCATTAGAGCCAAAAACCTCAAGTGCATTTCGGGGACCTGAAGAAACACCTTGGGCCAAATGAACCTCGGAACCACGTAGGAATCGGCTAGAACCAGTTGGAACC